CGACAAAAATACAATCTAAAACTTAATTTACAAACAGTTTAATTGTCCAAAATTTTTTTATAAACAATTTATAAAAATAACAAAACAGCCACCACAATTTATTACAACATGAACAATAAAAAAAAACTCAACCAAAAAACTATTTGGAAAAAAAACAATGTACTAACTCCTAACTAAAACTTTAATGATTTGTTTTATTAAGTCATCTGTGTAATTTAATAGCTCAATATTTTAAAATAAATCTGTTTACAAACCATAAAACTATCAAAATCAAACTTTTAACAATTATAATACTTTGATTGTTTTCAAGAGTGCAAAGAACAACAATCAATGTATTATATGTTAGATTTGAGAGGAGAATAAGGTTTTAGAAAATCTATAAGTAACTTGGATATTCTTGAAGAATCATATGAACATTTTCTGAATATGATATTTCAACCCTATGATTGGCTTACACGAAATTTGAATTATATGGTCAATCCTTCAAGGAATAATATCAAATAAAGACACTTATATAAGGCCATAAACTAGTAGTTTTCTTTATTTACAAAATTTAAATTTCTCTAATTACCAAAGATAAACATCAATCAACTTTAAATCTTATTTTGTTGAGGAAAATATAATGGAAAATATTATTTTGGATAATATTTTCTAATAATTGCCTTCAGACCTTCATCCCTTATTTATGAGATAAAATTAGTAGTTAATGTTGATTGGTGCTTATCCTTGGTAATCAGAGGAACCCGAATTCTATAAAAACCATAGTTTGTAGTCTCATATCAGTGCCTTGATTGGAGATTGTTCCTTGAAGGATTATCCCCAGGATCTGGATTTCGTGTAACCCACGCATAAGGTCGAACTATCATATTTAGAAAATGTTTACTAGACTCCAAATTTCATATTCGGAGAGTGTTCACACAATCCTTCAAGAAGATCCAAGTTACTTATCGATATTATATATATATATATATATATATATATATATATATATATATATATATATATATATGACTTCCAAGTTCAAAAGTTAGAGATCTAGAGAAATGACTTCCATCATTAGCAGAAGAATATGCATTTTCTGTTGACTACTTTGAAGATGGTTTGTGTTCTGAGCACTTTTGCACCAAAAGCATAATAAGATGAAACTATAAACCAGATGACACTACAAGTGGGAGAATGATGACTACATTTGCAGAGACCATATTCTTAATTGTATGTCAGATCTTCTATATGATATATACCAAAATGTGGAGAGTACAATTATGGAATACCCTTGAGTTTAAGTATATCGCACGAGATGCTTCTAACAAGAAGTTTATGGTTAGCGGTTTTAATATCTATAAAATGATAGACTCGTGGCCTGTTATAGAATAATACAATGAAATCCTTTACATTATGGGTTAATTCACTCAACACAACATGAAAATGGATGAATGCATTGTTGTGTCGAGTGTGATTAATGATTTACCACCATCTTGAAAGGACTTTAAGCATACCTTAAAACATCAAAAGGAAGAGTTGTCAATGATACAACTTAGGAGTCACATACCGAACTAGGAATCACTTTGTGTCCAAGAATATGACAAAACCAAAAGGGAACCTGGTGTTAGAGAGTCTGTTGTCCACATGGTAGAAGTGAATAAGAACAATCAAAACCACAAAGAAAAAGACATTAAAACACAAGTATGATGGTCATAACAAACCAAGTAAGAAACCTTCTTTCCTTCCAAATTCTAACATTATACTAAAGTGATAAAATTATCTAAAATGGCTATGATACCACTTTTAGTATTTATGATTCTTAGTTTGGACTCTCAAACCATAAATATTAGAGGGTTGTTGTGACCAACGTTATGAGTGGCACTCCCCTAAGACTATACGGTGTTGGCAACGACAAGACCTGTTATGCATACGTGGCACCTCCACAACGCTGGTATAACATCGGGAACACCACCCCCGAATCCCGTTAAGGTATAAGGCGTTACTCAGGCGTGGTAACGGCAACAAAGGGCAACATCTGTTTTTTTCTTCCTTTCTCTGTGTTTCTTCTTTCTTGGCCTCACAAATGCGTCGAAGGATTGAAAGACCATCCCCAAAAAATGTGACAGAAAGAAATTGAGAGAAGATGATGATGTAGCGTGGGTATGGACGTAGCAATCTAATAATATATTTAAGATTTTAAGGTATAGCTTTTGTACTTTTTATTTGTAAGATTAAACATAATAAAAAATAAAAAAATATATTTAAATATGTTGACGAGTTGAAATCATTCTATAAATTTTTACCCCGACCCAATTTGTTTGATTAAACTAGTTCATAGGTTTGATATGTTAACTAAACATGTTCATAATCTTATCCCAACTAATTGTATTAAATTGATTTGTGTTTTAATGTTATATTATATTATTGAATTATTTCGATATCATATAATAATTTTTTTTTTAATGAGAGATCTAATATTTAAATTTCCATATACGTAGGAGTTAGGATTCGAAGATCCGTTAAGGCAAGGTAACCACTTGAGTATTGCACTGGAACAGTGGAACTTAGCACGAGTCTAAATCAAATTACTTTAAGCAAAGCGCCTGCAAGGCTACAAAAATATATGATAATTTTGTTAAAATTTTAATTTTAATTTTGTTTTACCTATTAATTAATACCATTATAAGTACTAATCGTATGAATTTTGCTTTATCAAAATAATTCATAAACATCTGAGAAATTAAATATCTTACTATTTTTTATTCCTACCAATCATCCTACTCATTTAAATGATATAGTATACTAAAATATCATTAAATTGCATTAAATGAGCATTAAATGTTACACATGTCACCATATAATTGGGTAGGAGGATTCGTAGGATAAAAAAGTGATATTTAATTTCTCTAAATGATTTTTTTTTGTCACATGTCACACTCTCATTGATTTGGCCACATGTCATTTTGTGGTCATTTTCAATTATTTTTTTTACATGGCATTTTGTGGTTTTTTCTATTTTATTAAATTTCACATAATATTTAAATATAGTAATTGCAATAAATGCAATTTCAACAATTGACTTTTTTTCTAATTTCAACATTTCTAAATTAAAACTTCATTAGTTTCCTTTGTTTATTTATTTAAATTATTTGTTTAAATTTTAAAGAGAAAAAAAAAACACTTTAATTTTAATAATTCAATATTTTTCTAATTTTTCTTATAAATTCAAACTTTTTCAAATGTTTAGAATTTTCATAATTATTTTTCTTTTGAATAAACTCATGTAATACATGAGTTTTACACCTAATATGGTTAATAATGAAAAAATAAATTGTATATTAATAATTGCTAATTGTGTCGGATATGATTGAGTAAGACCTAACTTCTTATTAGACCCAACAAGATGTATATCAAAGACTATAGAAACGAATAATAGGTTTCCGATATGGTATCAAACAGTTTGAATTGTATCAAGTTAGAGTCAACGTGTTATCAAAATTAGTAAAAAGGCATATTAAATAGCCTTAAGTCATCCTTATGTTTTGAACGTAATAGACCGCTAAAAAAAAGAAAACAAATACATCTGAGGTTTTTTTTTAAGTTCGCGATACTTATAAGTTATGATATCGTATTTTTTTTTTAACATATATGTAATCACTAATTGAGTTTTTGTGCATACTTGTTTCTTCTTTTATGCTATCTTTGTCAAGATTATCGTGTATGTTTAACTAAGAGCATCTCCAATATATGTTTTAACTAAGAGCATCTCTAATGGGAGGTTTTTTTTATAGTATATTACTATTTACTTTTTTTTTTAAATGAGCACTTAAAACCATTGGAGCAAACAACTTTTTTGCTTTTTTATTTTGACCACTCAATATATATTGAGTGATTAATATAGTATGATAACTTGTACATTTTAACCCCTTCCATTTTAAAGATATGTCATTTTATAACTAATTTGTAATATTGTCAATGTTTTTGTTGTATTTTTATAACTAAAACATAATAATTTTTCATATTTTAAGTATATAAATAAAGACTCGGTATAGTTGTATTATATATTTTCATATTAAGATATGATTTGTGTTTAAAAAAAGATTAATTAAATTAGATGTTCTATAAAACATTTTAGATAGATGAAGGTAAATTAGTTAAATTTATAGAAAATCTATTAAAATAAGTTCAACCATTGGAGAAGTCATTTATTTAGAGGTCAAAATTAATAGATAATGAGGTGACAATTACTTTAAGCTATAACATGGGTTAACAACTGGAGATGCTCTAAGACTTAAAAAATATCAACGAGTATAAGCCATAAAAAACTTCAATTTTTTTTAATAACAAACGTTCAATAAAATTCTATCTTAGGGTATAGTTTAAGATTTAATGTTTAAAAAATATGTAATAATTTTAAAATTAATGTTAACAAACTTATATGTTAGACTAATTATAATTGAATAAGATATTCGGTTTGTATACAATAAGAATTGACTTCTAGTATACCGAGTTTCTTATTTGAATATAAAATTATAACCTATCTCCTTTGATATTGAGTTTAAAATTACGTCGTATATAATAAATCTTAACTAAAAATAAGTAATTTTGCATGAATTTAACGTATATATAACCAAGACCAAATAAAATGGTTAATATATTTTGTTCATTTGTCTAAATTTCATAAATTACTAACATATTAAACACCATATAAAAGTTATTAATACAGTAACTACACATATTAATATTACATTTTAAAGTGACATATTGAGTAAAATAAAACTAATTTAATATATATATATATATATATATATATATATATATATATATATATATATATATGATTTATAAAAATTATTAAACCAATAAGCATGGAGCCTATCAAGAAAATTGCCTATAAAACCCCCATCCATGCATGCCATATAACCCCCACCAACAATCCAACATCAAACATGACCAGCTCACACCAAAAGGGCTCGATCCTAGTCATGACCTTGGCCTTGCTCATGCTTCTAGTAGCCATGGCCTCCCTAGCCACTTCACGCACCCTCAACGACCCAACCATGATAGCCAGACACGAGCAGTGGATGGCTCATCACGGGCGTATTTATACAGATGAAAATGAAAAACAACTACGTTTTCAGATATTTAAAAGCAACGTCGCCTATATTGAGGCACATAATGCGCGTTCAAACCAAAGTTACACACTTGAAGTCAATAAATTCGTTGATTTAACAAATGATGAGTTTCGCGCTTCACGTAACGGTTATAAAAAACAACCAGATTCAGATTCACGTGTGGTGTCTGGTTTATTTCGTTACGCGAATGTAAGTGCGGTACCAGATGAAGTTGATTGGCGAAAAGAAGGCGCGGTAACACCCGTTAAGGACCAAGGCGATTGCGGTAAATTTGTTTTTTTTTTGTCATATCTGCAATACATAGTACACAACACACACTAAACAATATACATACATACTATGATACCACCATATTAGATATATAGATTGTCCTTTTTAGTTTCCTCAACAAAAAGAGCCATTAAGTATATTTATTGATGCGTTTTTTTTATTGGAAACAGGATGTTGTTGGGCCTTTTCGGCGGTGGCAGCCATGGAAGGAATTAACAAGCTTGAAAATGGGAAACTGGTGTCGTTGTCGGAGCAAGAACTAGTTGACTGTGATATCGATGGCATTGATCAAGGCTGTGAAGGAGGTCTAATGGAGAACGCTTTCCAGTTTATTGAAAAACGAAAGGGTCTAGCGGCGGAATCTGTCTATCCATACACCGGAGAAGATGGGATCTGCAACACCAAGAAAGCAGCCATTCCGGCGGCCAAAATCTCCGGCCATGAGAAAGTTCCGGCCAACAACGAAAAAGCTCTGTTGCAAGTAAGTAATATATTTACTACCAAAAGAATTACAAACTTGATTTAATATATAATATTCTTATATATTTACTAATAAGACAAAGGAGAAACTTATGGAATAAAAACACGTACCTACGCATAGGTTCATTATGTTGTGGATGTTTCTAATACGTAAATATGTGAAATTGAAAAATTGATCTTTTTGACAAAATATGTATTTTCATAGAATCTTGAATTAGAGGATGTTTGAGACGTGGATTTGCATATTGATTAACAAAGTTTCAAGAATCAATAGAATAATATAATAAAAAATATATTTAATTGAAAAGTTTAATGTTGACGGAATAATTTCATATTTACCCAAAAACTACAGTCTATATAACAACACGTTACTACAACATATATAACAACTCGTTGTTTATTTATCATATTTTATTATTATTATCTGAGCATTAAAAAAACAGAATTATAGTTAAACATAATTTTTTTTACTGATGCAGGCTGTAGCAAACCAACCTGTTTCTATTGCCATTGATGCAAGTGGATATGATTTCCAGTTTTATTCGGGAGGCGTTTTTACTGGAAGTTGTGGAACTGAGCTTGACCATGCTATAACTGCAGTTGGATATGGGGCTACGATGGATGGGACCAAATATTGGCTAATGAAGAACTCATGGGGTGCATCATGGGGAGAGAACGGGTATATACGAATAAAAAGAGATAGCTTGGCGAAAGAAGGATTGTGTGGTATCGCTATGGATCCTTCTTATCCCGTTGTTTCAAAAGCATGAAGTATTTAGACAAAAGATGTTGATATTTAAGTGTGTATATGTCATTTATATTGAACTTATGTTAAAGTTACATTGATTAAATGTGGTTTTATATTAGTCGATCAAAATGTAAATAAACCTTGTAAAGATCAAATTATATAAACCTTGTAAAGTTAAAATAATTTAATGTGATTATATATAAGGTTGCTTTTGTTTTGGTTATTGTCATTTGACAATCTCATTCTATAAAACTTATATCACCCGGACATGTTAGAAGTTATTAGGAACGTAGTTAGTATGGAGCAGTCAACTTTCGTTAAAAGCTGTAAAATTCTAAACAACGGACGCGTCACGTGGCCAAGTATTCAGGCCCGACCCAGACGGTAGGCAATGTGGACGGTCGCCCAAGGCCCATGTTTCTAAGGAGTCCAAAAAATCTAGAGTATATGGTATATATAGAGAAAAAAATTAACTTATCTAAAATTCTAGAAGTATTTTTCTTTAAATTAGTTGTTTTTGTAATGTCGTGACAATATTTTTGCTTTTTAATATTAATAGTGAATTTTTTAACGGTATGCTTATTTTCGATTTAATTTTATTATATCTATGATTCCGGGGACCTATTTTTTTCTTTCGCCCTGAGATCACTATATTTTTGGACCGACCCTACAAGTATTGGCTCATGAAGAACTCACCGGGTGCATCGTGGGGAGAGAAAGGGTATATACAAATAAAAAGAGATGTATTGACGAAAGAAAAATCGTGTGTTATCACCAAGCATCATCCGTATCCGATTGTTTGAAAAGAATTAATAAAGTTTCAAACAAAGGCGTTAAATGACATTTAAGTATGCACATGTCATCTAAATTCATCAAATCACATTCAAGTTACATTATTTTTATATCATTTGAATAAAAATGCTTGCAAACTTGTATACTTTAAAATAAATTAATGTGATTATATATACATAAGATTGTTTTTGTTTTGGTTACTTGAAAATCACTTCGTATAATACTCATACTTCCTTTGTAAAGTATTTCTCGTTTTAAAAACAATGTATTTCTCGTTTTTTATTGATGATAAAAGCATGATTAATTTCACTTGCCTTTATGCCACTTCCACTTTAAAAGAAAGATAAGTCCTAACTCCTAAATAACTTTGTCACTTTCCTTAAATAAAAACAAAAACGGTCAGAAAACTTTCACACTATTTAAAAAGTAATTAAAAAAAATATGTACTTATTTATGTATAACTGATAATTCCCCTTGAATCATTAACTGTATTAATGAGTGTATAATTTTTTTAAACTAGCTACTCTAATCTAGATTTAATCAAACACTTAGACTGTGTTTGGTGTGCTACAAGTAATTATTTTTCGAGCTTTTTATGTTATTGTGTTTTGTAAGCCAAAAAGTAGCTTATAAACTAGCTTTTTGAAAAGCGACTTATACTAGCTTTTTAGGTAAATTTTCCAAATACACTCCTTAATTAATTATAGAAACACATACTCTTACATGTCATTTTATGTAATTTTATATATTTCAGCTAGTTTTACCAAACCTTATTTTTTATCAGTTATCATCTAATTTTTTATTTAACAACTAGCTTTTCAGCTATCAACTAGCTTTTCAGCTAAAAACTAGATTTTCAACTATTACGTCAAACATAGTCTTAATTTACTTCTGACATCACAGATACACATCAGAGAGGACAATATCTCATACCATTGGTTTGAAGCCAAAAAGATAAATACAAAAGATAAAAATAAACTAGCCAAAAATACAAGATTTAAAATCAAAATCATATATTTATCTTTTATATGTGATATTGCGATTTAAAGAAAATAGAAAATACTATAAAAATATACATTGCTTTGTTTCTCCCTCAATCCGAAATTGGACTCTAAAAAGGTCAAAACTTCATATAGACTAGCTGAAGTCTTCTCGATTTACGTTTCTCATACTTCATTTCCCCTCTATATTTTCTAGAATCTGATTGATTATCGAAGTTTCATCGGTACAGTTCGTCTCCAATCCAGTTCACGCGAATCAGGTAAAATTTTCATCATCTTTGATGTTTAGAATGCAATTCTAGAACCCTAACATTAGCTCCACGGTCGAGGGTAGTGTGTTATTAGGGATTTGTAATTATTTAGATAAGTCGAGATGTAATTGACGTTACATATCTTCATCTTGTTATTTCTGTTTCGATTTCGATTGGCAATTTTTGGAATATGTGTTCGAAAATATAGTTCTCGCTGTGTTGATCGACTCTCTCTGCTATTTCTCGTCGAAACAAATTGTATAGTGTAATCCAATCCGACTCCATAGCATCCAACATTAAATTGATCCAACTACATCATGATTTCTACGAATCACTATGAAACAAAGCTGTTGGTGTTAATTATAAATTTTTATATTGTTGAATTATCACCAAAGATTGTTGGCTAACTTGGTATGGAATTGGCAGCTGGAGTAAGACGCTATAGATCATATCAGCAAACATGGCGGGAACTGAGAATGGGCCTATTCTGCAATTTGCACCCTTTCAGAGTTCTGTGGATGCCGGTTTTTGGCATGAATTATCTTCGTTGAAACTCAACAAATTAAAAACTGATGAATCTCCAATCCCAATAACCGGTATGTTGCTTTATCTTCTAGTCTTTTCCCATGTATTGTAATATTAATGTTGATGAAGTTATTACCATATTTCAATACTTGAAACAAGTCAAGATACTTATATTGTTTGTATTGACTGTTAATGATATCCTTGTAGGTTATTACACACCTTGCTCCAATTCTCAAGTATCAAGCCATCTAACTCTGCTTACTGAATCCTTGCCAACTGACCCAACTGATGAACAACAAGCCAAAACAAGTCATGGGAACAGAAACAAATGCTCTGTGCCTGGCATTCTTTACAACACAAACACATTAGAAGGGTATTACGCTCTGGATAAACAAGCTCTGTTAAAGGCTGAAGCAAAGAAGGTATGATCAAACACAATTATGTTCTTTTGTTAAAACTCTATTTAATAATCCATTTTTCAGTTATACATGAATGTAATATCAAAATCTTGAATGCCAGATTTGGGATGATATTCAATCTGGAAAAGCAGAGGAGGACAGTTCTGTCCTTTCAAGGTTCCTTCTTATATCATTTGCAGACCTCAAGAAATTTAACTTCTATTACTGGTTTGCTTTTCCTGGTATCGTTCTTGACCCTCCAGCAACTTTGGTTGATTTGAAGCCAGCATCAAAATGGTTCACCCCAAAAGAGGTTTGACCATATATATATATATATATATATATATATATATATATATATATATATATATATATATATATATATATATATATATATATATCCATTTCCCTTTGTAAATCAACTTTGTTGTTTTTATTACTTAAAGATGTAGCATTGTTCTTTCATAACATACAGGCTGAATCTGTGTCTGCATCCTGTAATGAGTGGCGTATGTCAAGTTTAACAGCAGGTAGAGTCATTTTATGTATGTATATATGTGATGTGAGTACTTTGGATTCAAATTTGCTGAAAGACATGATTTTGTAGGTGTGCCATTCTTTTTGGTCTCCATTTCTTCAAATTCACAAGCTGCTATTAGACCTTTGAAGGACTTTGAAACTTGTCAACGTGAAGGGCATAAGGTGAACACACATCTATCTTTTTAAAAGACGTAAATGCCCTCCTAGTCTTCTTCTAAAAGGGTCTTTGTTTTTGGTGACAGATGCTCTTTGGTTTCTATGATCCTAGTCATCTTCCAAACAACCCTGGATGGCCTCTTCGCAACTTTCTTGTCTTCATTTCTGCAAAATGGAACCTGAAAAAGATTCAGTTTTTATGCTATCGTGAGAACCATGGGTTTGCTGATTTGGGTTTATCCCTTGTTGGTGAAGCTCTGATCCAACCTTCACAAGGTAGATCAGCCAAAATTGGGTAACAAGTCAACTCTTTTAAAAGTCAAATTCTTGACTCTTATAATCTCCAAGTGTTTCTTGCAACATGAAATGTCTTTTTTTTTTTTTACTTTTATTTGAATCAGCATGGCAAGATCAAGATCATGTGCCTAATGCAGTTGGATGGGAACTGAATAAAGGGAAAAGATCATCTAGATGCATTAACCTATCTACTTCCATGGACCCCACTAGGTATATTGGGTGGTGTAGTCTGTACTCTGTAGTGTGTTTCTTATGTGTTGTTTTTTAATTTTAATGTAAGTGTGATTAAATTTTTACAGGATGGCTATATCGGCTGCAGATCTGAATCTAAAACTGATGATGTGGCGAGCACTGCCATCTTTGAACTTGACCATGTTGTCTACTACCAAGTGCCTTCTGTTGGGAGCCGGGACCCTTGGATGCCAGGTGGCCCGCATGCTTATGGTGAGTCTTTCCATTTCTAAAAATTGCAACAAGGGTATAATTGTAATTTACAATTGGTGTATATCTGAAGGCATGGGGTGTGCGAAAAATAACATTGGTGGATAGTGGTAAAGTCGCCATGTCAAATCCATTAAGACAATCCCTATACACCTTGGAAGATTGTCTCAATGGTGGTGATTTCAAAGCCTTGGCAGCAGTTAAAAGTCTGAAACGAATTTTTCCAGCTGTGGTAATTAATTTAATCTCTTCCTTTTGAAAACTATATTATTATTATTATTATTATTATTATTATTATTATTATTATTATTTACTTTTGATATTTGTTTGTAGGAAGCAGAGGGTGTAGTGATGGCAATACCTATGCCAGGGCATCCAGTTGCTAGACAAGAAGAGGAAAAAGTGGTTGATGACTGCAAACGTCTTTCTGATTTAATCGAGTCTCATGATGCTGTTTTTTTGTTGACTGATACACGCGAAAGTAGGTGGCTTCCAACTCTTTTATGTGCCAATGCTAATAAGGTTAGTCTTGTACTTTTCTGCTTCACTGTTGTACTTACTTTATTATTCTAATACTGATGCTGATGCATTTGGATTCGACAGTTTCCTAGTAATATAGAAAAATTACCATTATGCCCTTGATAGTTTTAGTTTAATGTTCAGGTTACAATTACGGGTGCATTGGGGTTTGATAGTTTCTTGGTAATGCGCCATGGTGCGGGCCCACTACTCAGCAGAAATACACCATCAAAAGCTGAGACTGTTGTTGGCTCTTCTTTATCTGCTGGTGTTGAAGAAATGTCACTGGGACAGAAAGATAGCAAGCCGAGACTCGGTTGTTACTTTTGTAATGACGTTGTTGCCCCTGTGGATGTATAACATTTACTTTACTTCTTTCCTTTTAACTCTTATTTTAATAGATAAAACTGAGATTTCATTTTTGTAATTTTTAAAATGCAGTCAACAGCTAACCGCACTTTGGACCAACAATGCACGGTTACACGTCCTGGACTTGCCCCTATTGCATCCGCCCTTGCGGTTGAACTTTTGGTTGGGATTTTGCATCATCCTCATGGGTAAGGGTATTTTTGGAACAAAACCAAACATATTCCTTTAATTTTTTTATTTTGGAAATTTTGGTGCATGTATTTTTGTACAGGATATCAGCAAAAGCCGAATTTGGAAACTCTTTGGATAGTGTAAACAGCGAACAAGCTCTTGGGATATTACCACATCAAATCCGTGGGACCCTCTCGCAGTTTTCTCAAATGATACTTGTGGGCCATTCCTCAAATAGCTGCACTGCTTGTTGCCCGATTGTAAGTTTTCTTTTTCACACAATATATGAAAATACAATAAAGAATAATGTTATATTATCTTTGTATGGGCAAATTTGTAATTTTGTTCAACATTTTTTTTTTCAGGTGGTTTCGGAGTATAGGAAAAGGGGACTGGAATTTGTTCTAGAAGCTATTAATCATCCTACTTATTTGGAGGATTTAACGGGACTAACGGAGCTCATGAAATCAGCAAACTCTTTTGAACTTGACTGGGATAACGAGACTGATGATGATGATTGTGTTGAAATCTGACACTGTTTTTATGGCACGTGGCTAACTCTTTGTGATGAAATACGTTGACAATTGTACAAAAACTGGAAATTTAACCAACTTCTTTATGGATGGATTACTTTGTGGAAATAACAGTTAGACCCTTCTGTTATTGGATAAATACGATTGTGTCTGGTTCATTTATCCGTGAAACAACAAAAATGGTCCTTTGATGATATTCGATTTTCATTTATCTTCTTTTATGAAAATAGTTTACCACTTTCCAAGTGACCATGCAAAGGGGACAGTCCCTTAAATCTCTTTTTTTGTCGTATTTGGATCAAATTCCCATTATATAAAGTATGAATTGTGCATCATCTAACTTATATTAGATTACAATTTAAATCTCTATTTGACATTCATCTTTAATTCCAATTACATTAAATAGCTATAACACTGAAATCAACAACAATTTCTAATTGTTGAACAAGTTATATGTAAAATTTTATTTAGAAAAAGATAAAACATCACATAAACAAATACTTAAACATCTTTTCTCTAATCTTAACTATCAATTATTTATGAGTTCTTACCAACATCGTTAAATATGTAAATTAAATTCTCTCTATTAAAAAAACAAATTATATACAAAAAAATAATTATTGAAAGTGTTGATAACACAAATAACCTCAATGAATGCTATGGCCATATTTTCAACCTTTACGTTAAATAACTACATATTTTATTAATGTAATTTGTTTTGAAAAAAAATGTTTTATAAACGAGTTCCCACAATAAAAGTTTTCAAACAAAGGTGTAAAGGACCTTATGTTTTATATCTTAACCAGTTAGTTAATAAACAATGTCGAACCATTAAGCATTTTAGGGAAACACATATTTGAGATTACTTGGAAACACATATTTGAGATTACTTTTACATACTTTTTGCAAAAGGAGTTTCTTAAAATGTGTTTGGATTAGTTTTTGAGGGACAAAAGACAAAAGTTATTTTTAGAAAAATGTCTGGTTTAACTTTTACATGTAAAATGACTAAAAAAGGAGATACTTAAAAAGTGTTTGGTTAGTTATAATAGGTATAAATGTAATTTACTTTGTAAAATGTTAAAAAGTTACAAAAGATAGAATTTCATAACTTTTGAAAAAACATATTTTTGTTCATGGTAAAAAATTGTTTTAAAAGAACTTTTCCACTTGCCAAATATATTTTGGACTTTTTTATTTTGATTTTTTTAGAAAAGTTAAAGTTCTATAAGTCGTTTTAGAAAGAATGCCTTAACTTTTAAGAGGCCATATTTTACCTCTGAATCGATCAGAGGTTATACATATGCTGGACCATTCATTTATGTAAGGGATAATGACTTAGGAGGGTAATTAGGTTTCTAGTTTGTCCGTATTAGGTCACTAAGGTTTTTTTTGTGCGTATTAGACCAATATGGTTGTTATTACCGTTTAAAAAATAGTCCTTTTTACCGGTTTCTTCATGTTTAACCGGTAAAAAGGACTATTTCTAAACGGTAATAACAACCATATTAGTCTAATACGCACAAAAAAAAACCTTAGTGACCTAATACGGACAAATTGGAAACCTAATTACCCTCCTAAGTCATTAACCCTAATTTTAAAGACATTGAGAATATATGACCATCAACAGTAAACTAGTTCGTTTAGAACTCGCGTCGTCCCATATCGACCAGAAGAAGAACATGCTACTCCTCTATATGGCGAAGCTCTTCATCTATAGTCGTCCCTTCGGGGACATCCGATAAAATTGGAACGATACAGAGAAGATTAGCATGGCCCCTGCGCAAGGAGGACACGTACAAATCGAGAAATGGTCCAATTTTTTTTTAAACCCTTTGTCGTCTTCTCTGAAACCCTAATTCTCTTTTCAAATGCTAATAGAGTTCAATTGCAATTCTTACGTTTCAGTAGATGAACTACTGAAGTCATGATCAGACAACATGTGGATTTCATGGTCAGATTGATCTTCTTGTTGATGTCTTCAACCATTTGTGCCAAGTAAGGGTGATCTTTCTTTCTATAAAGTCTCCTTTAAGTTTTTTACTTTTCATGTCATTAAGTTTCATGCTTTATAAACTTCCGTTTATGTGTTGTATATAGTCTGTATGTGTTTGTTTATGTGCTGATTTTTTATTCATTTTGCAACTTCAGTTTCTTAGTTCATGTTGTGGTTTTGCTGTTTATAAAATAATTGATAATAGGCATCATTTGCAAGTCCCTGTTGGTTTTACATTTCTATTCGTTATCAAATGTAGACATTGATGGGAGGTATCAAAGTGAGATTGTTTTTGTACATATGAATGTGTTCATGTAAACATTTAAATGACAAAAAAGAAGTTATTGATAAAATGTTGCATATTTATGTAATGAAGATCATCAATCATATGAGTTTTTGGACTTGGAAATTCTGGAAGGGTTGTGTGATAAGTTTAAATGGAAGCAACTATTTTCAGTCAAACAAGTCAGTCACATTGATTAGTAAGCGTGTTTTCTAAATAATTAGGGTTAATGACTTAGGAGGGTAATTTAGTTTCCAGTTTGTCCGTATTAGGTCACTAAGTTTTTTTTGTGCGTATTAGACCAATATGGTTGTTATTACCGTTTAGAAATAGTCATTTTTACCGGTTTCTTCCTATTTAACCGGTAAAAAGGACTATTTCTTAACGGTAATAACAACCATATTGGTCTAATACGTACAAAAAAAACCTTAGTGACCTAATACGGACTGGAAACCTAATTACCCTCTAAGTCATTATCCCTTTATGTAATTTAGAATTTAGAGCTATAGCCTATAGGTATCAGCTGGGCCTTTCATTTCACCTTTATCAGGGTTTCTCTGTCGCGTTAGGGTTTACAGTTCACCGGCGGTAAGAAATGGATCTTTCGAAGAAGAGAAAAATGGAGGAGAACGGCCAATACACCACCGATGTCACAAACGACGTCGCGACTCCGCCGTTATTCTCCTCTATAACTCTCACTCCACAGGATGCGCGGAAGATCTTGGAATCCTTCACTAAGGAACAGCTCCTCGACGTTTTACAAACTGCCGTCGTACGCGACGTTGCCGTTCTAGACGCCGTTCGTTCGGTAGCAGACTCCGATCCTACCCAACGTAAACTTTTCATCCGCGGTATCGGTTGGGAAACAACCACGGATAAGCTTCGATCGACCTTTTCGGCTTTTGGGGAACTTGAAGAGGCTATCGTAATAACTGATAAAAATACTGGAAAATCGAAAGGTTATGGATTTGTTACTTTTAAACATATAGACGGCGCGGTTTTGGCTCTGAAAACACCAAGTAAGAAGATCGATGGTAGAATTACGGTTGCGCAGTTAGCGGCGTCTAGGGATTCAGCTAATGTTGATGTGTCAACGAGGAAGGTGTACGTTGGCAATGTCCCGTTTGAGATATCATCGGAGAGATTACTGAGTCATTTTTCATCATATGGGGAGATAGAAGAAGGACCGTTAGGGTTCGATAAACAGTCAGGGAAGCAAAAGGGTTTTGCTTTTTTTGTTTATAAAACTGAGGAAGGGGCGAGGAATTCACTTGTGGATTCAATCAAGAACATTGATGGGCACCAGGTTATGTGTAAAATGGCTACTGATGGGAGGAAGGGGAAAGTAAGTGGTCCACAAGTGTCTAATGGGAGACCTGTTGATTCCGCTCGATCAATGCCAGGTTCCATGAACGCCGGCTATGGTATGCCAGGTTAGATTTTTTGTGAACTCCTTTAATATCTCTTTTTTTATGTTCAAATTGAGCTTTATAAAAGAGCTCATACAATGGCGGATTCCAGGTGGGATAACATCGTATGGTGGGTACTCCAGTGGACCTCCATTGCCTCATCAAAATCCGCAACTGAATTCTTCAATGCCTTCGTCAATGAGCAGTGGTCCAGGTTATGGGAGTCAAGGGCCACCCTCATATGGCGGTGGTGGTGGGTATGCTGGTGGTGGATACGGTAGTGGTGGTGGCTCACATTATGGTGGTGATACAGCCCTGGATCATCCTGGGCTTAACAATTATCCATCTTCTATGAACAGATTGCCCCCATCTCAGGGTGGATACAGTGATGGTGGAAGTTATGGTTCTTCAGCTTACTCAACACAACCTAACCTTCCACCTGGTGGTCCGAGAGTCCCTCATGGTGGGATGTACCAGAGTGGCCCACCATATTATTGAGGTAGTGTTATGCTCTCATATATGTCATACCATCTATGTGAGGCTAAGAATGATAGTTTATATAAGTTGAAGTATTACTATTACTTGTTTAGATCTTAATCTGCTGTTGGTGTTAGAATAATAGAATTTGTTGTTAAATGTGTATACATGAACATGATTCAGGTTTTTGAGAAGTTGCTTGGTTGTTGGAGGCAAATGCTTGATTTCATGAATGATTGCTGACAATGGTTGCTGCTTTACTCACTCTATATAATGCCTATATATGACTTCCTGCTTTTCTGATACAATAATATGTCTCTTAATATTCTTATGTTTACAGTGGTTTTGTAACTTATTCTGATGCAACATGTTTTCTTGTAGCATATCACATTGATTGTAATAAGTTTTGACCATGTGGTTGCTACCTTTTAGATGGTTTTTATGTGCAATATCTCTTCTTTCTTGGTTTTAATGTTTCTCTTTTTTTTGTGTGTGCTTCTTGTGGTTAGATGTCTATTGCCTTCTATAATTGTATTTTTTTTTTTAATTTTTATTTTTATCTGAGAAAATGACAAGCTAGGGGAAATGGAAGGAATTTTAACTGATTTTGTCTACTAAGTTGTTATTTTTGCATTTTGTAAAAAGAAACGTCTATGTATAATAACAGCTTGCAGTTATATTTATAAAACTTCTGGAATTGTACTAATATAAAATTTTACTGTGTATGATGATTTTGATTATCATGAATTGTGATTCCATCTATCAATTGTGTTTGTTTTTGGTTTTTTTTTTTGAACAAAGTTATGTGTTTTATTATTCACCATATATGCTTTTTGAGTAGAAAAGTTTAGCATACTTTTATGTGCTTGAAATCCATGTACATGAAGGATCTTGTGTTGTGTTCTTACATGACAAAACAGGTTATAGGTTATACTCCATTTGACAAAAATTGCAATCTTTTGTATCACCCAAAAAAGTTGGGGCATGGATTTGCTCTTGATCTATAGTGAGTGCAAAAGACGAGAATGCCCTTTGCATCTTCATCATTGAAAATAGCCCTAAAAAGCTTGTCTGTTTTGGTCCCTTCCTGTAACAAACGCTGCACAAAAGATTAGATAGAGAACTTTGAGGTATCATGGATCAAGAATATCTGGTATTATTTATTTATTTATGTTTTTACTTTCTGGTGGTTTGTTATCTTATTTTGATTATCTAAAGGTGCATTTACTTTGATATGAACAGATTCCTTTGGTTTAGTTCCAATTGAGCTACTGTGTTTCCAAGAATTAGATAAAGACACTCATTTCTGCTCTATGTCGGAATCGGAATTGGAAATGGAAATGGGGAATTGAAGTTTTGGAATTTTGTTTTGATGTTCACCAAACCAAAGTTAACATTGGTTGCTCAAAGTAGAAATTGGAAAAAAGGGAACAAAAAGTTTAAAGCTTATGGTCGAATATCCTTTGTAGATTTTTGTTTGATGTTAGTTGTACATATAGTTTTGATACCCTTGCATATGGGTCAGAATCGAATAATGAAATAATTTGAGAGAGGAAAAACATGTGCAATTGTCGATACAAATATTTTATCTTGACACAAAGACGTGAAACATGGATCTCCGTGGTGTTTGAAAGTTTGACTATGATGTAAATAAGTTAATCAAAAAAGTGCTTTAGACTATGTTCTTATTTCACATCGAAATTGTGCAAAATGTGAGAAGTATATAAACCTATTTGTGGACGTCCTACCTATAGCATGAATGTAGTTCGAAAACTAGTTGATAGCCGATACAAAATGACGTTTGCTAAAATTAGCTAATAAACTAGTTGAAATAAATAAAATGAAACATTCGAAATGACCATTTTACAAATTTCCAAATATTATTGCTTTAGGATATGCAACATTCGACATGACTAATTTACCCATTGATCGTGTATGGTTGCATCATATGTTGCATCAACATTTAACTCGATAATTGTAATTTGAGAATTCATTCGGTAATGTTTCAAATTGCATATTGCTACTAAGTATTAACAATAATAAATGCAAATCAATTGTTATTGTGGATAAAAAATCAAGTATATTAAGATGAATGGAGTGGTGTTACGGTTCTACTATGACAAAGATCATCTACATCAGCTCCATATAAGATGGTTGTGGTGACATCTGTTTTATATCATGGGCGAGAAGTGAGAAAGAAGCGAGAAAGAAGCGAGAAAGAAGAGAGAGAAGAGAGATAGTGAGAAATAGAGAGAGTTAATGGAAGAGAGAGGAGAGAAGTGTGACATTAAGGTGTCATGCACGTTTTAAACTGCATACAAATATTTGTCATAGTCATCATGACATACCGTACTCTATGCCAAACCCACATATTAGAGTTTTTTTGGTAGAAACAAGTATCTTACTATTTCATGTAATTTGCCTTCTTAACAAATAAAAATCCACACACTATTGTTTCAATGTATTACCAATTTATGTAGTAAAGTAATTCAACAAAATGGACTTTTTATGAGGTGATACGATATTGTTTCAATGTATTACCAATTTATGTAGTAAAGTAATCTCTAACCAACTTATGCATACATAAATTCTTGACATTCTAATAACAAATTGAAATACACACCAAATAATAAAATAAAAAATCAATTAGTTGAAAATAATATTCTAATGGAAGAAGGGTAAGGGTAAGGCAATGGGAGGTGAACAAAAGTCCATTCAATTCCAAGTTATTGAAGTGGGTAAACATGGTTGAAAGTTTGTTGAAATTGGGCACCCCTCCTCTTTCTAAGCCCCTACTGCCACTTCCATTTCAATTTTCTCTGTCATCTTCAAGATCTCTCCCCATGTCGTCCCTTAATTCCGTCAACGTTCACCGTTCCCCCACTGCTTCCTCTTTCCAGCCTTCCATTCTTGTTTTCTCAGGTACAAATCTCTCCTGTCCTTCCGATTTCACTTCTTCTTCAACAATTTCGTAATGTACCTTGCGAATTTGATCGAAAAGTGTATTTTAACAATTTGTAAGCAATTTGTTTTTGTGATTCTAATGGTTAGGGCTTTTAGAACTAAAAAAATACGAAATTAGGGAAAATTTGATATCTAGCGGGTGTTTTGATGCGATTCTAGAGTGATTGTAAAATTTGAAGCGGCTTGTCAATATTGAATATTCTGGTTCTTCTTACAGGGGGGACGGCTTTTAATGGCGTCGTTGAAGAGCTTAAGAAGCTGACAACTTGTGTTGCTCATGTTCTTCCTGTTTCTGATGATGGTGGAAGTACGGCTGAGATTGTTCGTGTTCTAGGTAGGCTTTACAATCATCCTTTTCTCAATTGATTACCCATCAACACATTTCTTCTTCCATGAAACCCACACAGATTTACTTTGTTCTAGATATTCAATTCCTAACATTTAGGTGATTTGATTGCAAATTCATGGTGCCATTTTTTAGGTGGTCCAGCAGTTGGAGACATACGATCACGATGCTTGAGATTATCCGATCAAAGTACTTCAGAGGCTCTTGCAGTGAGGAACTTACTTGGTTACAGGTTGCCTCTTGATCCACAAGAAGCCAAATTAGAATGGTAACTTCCTTAAATTTCACTTAAGGAGCTCCTTCCCCAATTTCAGCTCTTGATGACGAGGGCATTTTTGTCTTTTTTGAACAGGTACAGTATTGTAGAAGGAGAACATTCTTTATGGAAAGATGTTTCCAAGGCCTACAGAGAAACCATTCGTGCCTTTCTGGCTTATTTTCAGAACCAGGTTCCTGTCTTCATTAATGTGTTGTATTTATTATTGTTCATTCACACGTTTGAAATGAGTTTTTATTAGTATTCTTCTTTTCTTACAGATCCTTCGAAGAACAAATGAGTCATTTTGTTTTAGCAATGGAAGGTATGTGTAAATGTTTTATCTTTTTCATTCCAATGGATTGAATGAATGGAATGAGTGATTCCATTCCATCATACAAGGAACTAACTGGAATCAGTTTTTCCAGCATTGGTAACTTTTTCTTTGCAGGAGCACGTATATTCTTTCAGTCTTTGGATGCTGCAATTTTTTTGTTTTCACGTGTTTCCCAGATTCCCACTGAAAGTCTTGTTCTTCCAGTTATATCCACTAATGATCGCCTTACTTTAGGCTGTGAATTATGGGTAGGATAAAAAACATTATCTTTTTTCTTTTTAAAAAAAGTTAACTTGTTTTATTAGTTTAAGAGAATGTCAAATTACTAATCTTTTTACATGCTGTTTTTGTTATGAAGTTTAGGATGGAATGATAATACGTGGTCAGAATGAGATATCTCATCCCACTAATGGATCATTGCAACTTATAGATAAGGTAAAATCTGCATTTTTTCTTAAAAATCATAACTTTCTACTTTCAATTTTTTTTGTATTTGGATGGCATTGGTATAATTGTTAAAAGAAATGAAAATAAGATGCTATAAATTATAATACTAAACAAATCAATTAAAGTACTCTTGCTATATTTCTTGCATTTATCTCATTTTAAAATAAATGGCTAGTTTTCTGATTATGTAAATTTCCAATTATCTCATATGGCTTTTGTTTTTGGGATGCACTCATTAAATTTACCTTTTTTTTTAACTGTTTGAATCTTTCATACAGGAAAATTCTTCCACACTACCTTCAAGAATAAAGAGAGTTTTCTACATGTCAAGTGAAGGAAGCAATTTATTGCATGAGGTGATTCATGTTGTTTATTTTAAAGGGTTAAATACGTAAATTGGTAAAAAATTATTGTAAAATTGTTGAGGAGTTTATTTGTGGTGGTGATTATGCAGGTGTTTCCCACTGTAAATCCATCTGTTCTAGAACAGTTGAGAAATGTGGATTGCATTATTTATGGTATGGGATCCCTCTTTACTTCCATCTGCCCTTCTTTGGTAAGTCCAAAACCCTAATTAAACTCTAATTATTCAATTAAAATTTCATGGTTGTAATGTAATCTTTATATAAAATGTTAGGGTTCTTGATTTTCATAGTTGTAATCTTTAGGTAAAATGTTTGTTTAATAACATGGATTGTAACTGAATCTCTTCTTCAATAATTACTACCCATTTAACAATTAACACATTTTATTTTTTAGTTCTTGATTAATGACTTATTAAGTGCTTATAATAATTTATCATCATTCTTGTTTTTATGATGCAGGTTTTACTAGGAGTTGGAGAGGTTATAGCTTCAAGATCATGTGCAAAAGTAAGGCCTTGTTTTTATTATTATTATATTATTTATTATTAAATAAAAGTTGTCCAAATAACTGATGTTTGAAAATCATACTGAGAAAATAATGGCAAACTTGGGAAAATGAAAGGGCAAATCTGTAAAAAGTTAGTACATAATGGGACTTTCTTTGCTAAGTCGTTCTTTCTGAATTAAGTAAAAAATGTTTGATGTCGTCCTTCAAATTCCAAAATTAAAATATATTTCTGAAATGAAAATTGAAATTAAAATATAATTTTGAATTATATAAATAAATTATCAGGTACTTGTGATGAATGGTAGTTGTGATCGAGAAACTAGTGGATTTGGAGCCTCTTGCTTTGTTACTGCTATTACAGATGCTCTTAATAGAACTTATGGACATCTTAATAATCGTCTTAAAAACAATGTAAGTCATCAATAATAAAAACAAAACATCCTTATTGATTTATTTATTTACTAATTGTCTTTTTTTTTTTTTGCAGCCTAGTGAATATATTAACACCATTTTTGTGCCAAAAGATGGTGAAATTCCTGTAGATATGAAATCCTTGGCTACACTAGGAATTGTACACGTGGTATGTATTTTTATTTTTTGTTTAAAAATGCAAATTTATGCAACAAAGTGGCTTTTAATACGAAATATGTATTTTTTTTTTTTTTGGTAATTAAATTTTGAACATTGTTTGTTGCAGGTGCGTGTTGAATCAATGAAAGATCCAAAGGTGGGCGTAGTTTATGAACCAACATCTTTGATACAAGCTCTTTCCAATTTATTAAAACAAAAATGATAAATCAACAATGCAATAACAATTTTATTTGAAAAAAAAAATCGTGATCCATTTATTCTGTAGATTATAAAGTAGAAACCTAGCACAAGTGTACACACTCATCTTATAGCATTTTTGTTTACAAGGGATTAGCTTTGTATATTGTTGTATTTCAAGCATATAGAGAGCTAGTGTTGTATATTGTTGTGATTCACTTATTGAGCTTAATAGGTTAAGCACTTAATCTGGATATCTATGTATGGTTGTTGCTTTTTTGACTTAATCTAGACACAATGATTTAGGGGTTGTTTAATATGCCTCTTATTGAGTAACTATGATAAGAGGCTTGATTTGACTCAATGAGATATTGACTTAATCAACAATTACTCGAGTCATTTTATCAACACAAAACTTTAAAAAAAATTAAAATAAAGATACAACCCTTAGAGTAGATGGGATTGATGACCGAGGATGAAAAATTGAAAATGACAAGTATATCTCTTAAGATAGGATGAAAAATCACATATTCTATCCCATTGACATCAATTTCAGTCGAGTACTAATCTTAAGAATCCGCTCTGACAATCAAGTTAACAATATGAAGAAAACAAAAGTTACAACTTTTCAAGATATATTGCTTGATAATCGAAGAGATGTTTCAACATCTAGAAATTAAACCAAGATTACACAAATTAAACAAATACACATTAAACAAAAATATCATCATCATGATCATCATGGACCCAAAAGTAGTAAAAATTCGGTCATTCAATTCAAGCACGTTTTCCACTACTAGGATTAGATTTGGTGCAGAGTATCCATCGACCCTTGGCTCTCCTACGCTTCAACACAGCTCTTCCATTAGTAGTTCTCATCCTCAAACGAAATCCATGAGTCCTTGCTAATGATTTCCGAGATCTATTCCTCTTTGTTTGAGCAAGTTGAAACTTCTTCCCCGCCCTCACCACCAATCCCCGCCGTTTCACCGCCTCCATCCCACTCCTTGAACTCAAGTCCAACCCCAATGATGAACCTATCACACCATTCTACTTTCAATTTTCTTTTTTTGTTTCTTATTAAGGCATTGTACTTTGAAATATCTACATTGTACTTTCGATTCTTTTCTTATTGATACGTTATACTTTGAAAAGCTCACCCTATTATAGCAATGAAATTTGCTACGTATTTGGATGAGATTGTTATAATTGGATGGATTTTTCAAAGTACAATGTAAGTATGTTGCTCTTTCTTGCATTTAACCCTTTATAAAAAAGTTAAGTGGATCGAGTTTTTTAAATAATTGATTAGGTTTGGGTCAAAAGTAGGTGTTTAGCAAAGCCCTTTTGGTCAAGATTTAAATTAGAAAACTGCATTGTCCACTATGATTGATTTTGTTTTGTGCGCACATAATCCTTTAAACAAAATACAAATTAGCATAGAATTCAACTCAAAATTAGAAATATTTTGCATATCTATCAACCAAAATAGTAATTTCGGAATCTTGATTGATCAATCTCCTAAAACAGGATAAACCCTAAATTTCAGTGAAATGAAAAAAAACCCCACATACTCGTTAACCAAATTGCCCACATGAAAGAATGGGTTTTCGCTTTAATTTCATAACTGGGGAGATGAAAATTTACCTGCGAATGTGGATGAAGATGAAGATGAAAGAGAGAGTGGGGAAGAAGCAGAAACGAAGGAACAGTGGAGAAGCCCAGATGTGTTTGTGGAATTAGGCGCAGCAGCAGCTGGTTTTAGGGAGAGAGAGCTTCTTGTTACTCGTGAAGCATTGAGGAAAGGGAGCGAAGCTGTTGTACTGTGTGCTCCAAATCTTGTACACACAGATGATACACACGCCATGTCTTCAAGATTTCTTGGTTGCTGTTATCCTCTTCCTCAATGGCAACAGCCTTATCAGCTCTTCAGAGAACTGGTGGGGGTATTTTAGTAATAACGCTGATGGTGAAAATGGGCTAGCCAAGCCGAACTTGGCATTGGGCCATAGTTCGGGCCTTAACATTCTCCTCTCCTGTTTTAAATTTAAAGATGCTAACTTTTTAAGTAAATTAATGGTCTCTGTGGTTTGGGACATTTTTTCGTGTTTTTTTGTGTTATGGTGCGTGTTTTTTCGTTTGAGACATTTTTTGCTCTTTTTTATGCCTTTTCTAATTGGACATACAAGTTATCTGTTTTTTGTTAACTTTTTTATTAGTTATTGATATAACACTTTTAAAAACTTGTTATATTTGATATAAATCTATATTTATGTGGTAATATAATTATAAATTAATACAAAATCGTCGCCTTACATCATGCCTTGAAAAACGCAATGACTCGTTAAGCTTGAGGTTTGGCCTTGCCGCCACGCCACACCCCATGCCTTTTAGAACCTTGCCTATACCAGTATTGAAGAAACCAAAAAAATATATTCAAACAACTCCAAACTACCAAACTTAAGCCATAACTTTAATGACTAACCTACAATGATAATCCAAAAACAACACACCCATGGAAAAGAATATAACACAAAAGACCCAACTTCATAAACCCCACATGAAAAGATAATAAAGAATAGAACTTTCGCACCCTAAATATGACAATTAACTACCTTTAAAGAAAAAAAAGGCAAAAATGATGGCGTAGCAATAAGAGTTACTTGGTCTATGCAATAAGAAATCCATAAAAAGAGGGTATTGTAGGGCATGAGCAGCAAGAACTTCGTTTGTGATATCTCACAATGGTTTCATTGTGGCTGTTGTCGCAGTCGTATGTGACATTCCCAAATTTACGGTCATTTTAAAACTTTTTGTTTATGATTTAAAACATAGTTTATTTATGAAATGAGGAATTTGGTCCCGTAAAATATTTCCGAATAAATGTTTTTCATTAATATTATAAAATCTTGGGATGTCGTGACTGATACAAAACATAAGCATAAACGTAGGCCTTACAGTCACGACATCCCAAGATTTTATAATATAAGCATAAACATAAGCATAAATGTGACTAACAGTACTGTAACGTGGATTTCTCCGCAATACATGTCAGTAGGTTTCTTTCTATTTTTATTCCTAAGGATCATCTTAATTATCGTTACTCACAATACTATTATAGGGATTTCTCCGCAGTATGTGTTAGTAGGGTAGAGTACATCAAATGGGCACAAAGTTCATCACCTACAGGTTATAAACTTGATTGTTTTCCACAAGATGGTCATGAATAGTTTGGTGGTTATCACCTGTACTCTGCTAAGTGACTACATCGTTGGCACACTAGTACCATTCCTACATCATTGGCACACTAGTACCAATTCTACATCGTTGGCACACTAGTACCATTTCTACATCGTTGGCAGACTAGTACCATTCTTACATCGTTAGCACGCTAGTACCATTTCTAAAGTCGTGACATCCTATATTTGCCTACATCTTTCATAATACTATGGAATCTATTGTGACAACCCGAAATTTCTATCTTGTACAACACTTAAAATAAATCAAAGTCAGACTCGTGTCTGCTATCTTTTAGCACTGTTTAGAGTCTGTTTGAACATTCCGAGCCTAGTACACCAAAGGAATGAGTGAAAGGAAGTGTCAATTGATGTTTAAATCCATCAAGCAAACCATAAACCCCTTTCATGAGGAGTTTACGGCCAAGACACATGAGTTTACAGCCGTAAACTCATGCTGGCCGTAAAATCTTGGCTATATATGTGATACTTGGCCATTTTTCAACACTTTTACCATTTCCAAGCCAAGAAATCGGGTTTTGCTCTCAACTATCATCAAGGATCTTTATTTTCTTCCAAAAATGTAAGTGATTTATCCCTTGATTAGTTACTACATCTTCTTATCTAGCATAACCCCTTTGATTCCATCCATTAACATCATCTTTTAGGTTAGATCTTCAAGATCATCAAGAACACCAAGAACACGTTAGTGTTTTGGTCCAAAATCACCCTTTTTAGCTTCTATATCGTAAGTATTACTTCCCTATACTTGATATCTAGTAAGAATTCATGCTTAGCACCTTGAATCACCCCATATCCATGATCAAAGAGAGTTTACGGCCAAGAGCATCTCCCTTGGCCGTAAACCCTTATTAAAGGTGCAAATGTGATCATAACTCTTCTTAGGGCTTGGACTTAAGGCTAGAACACTTCCTTGTGGTTTATAAGACCTTAAAACACCTTTTAGACACAAATCATCATGAGTTTACGGTCGTAAACTCATGAGGCCGTGAACACATGGCCGTAAACTCTAGTGGCCGTGAACTCATGGCCGTAAACACCATGGTGTGGCCTTAAACTCCTTAGATGCAATCCTTTGTAATTATATCACTTCCATATAAGTGTTTCCTAGTTCCTAAGGTGTGTTCCTTACATGATTAGTAGTATAAACACTAATTATATACATATATGTGTCTTTATATGTTAAATAGGATCCGTGTGTGTGTTCAAGTCTTCACTTGACACCTAGCATCCTATACCACTCTTTCATCCAAACTACTCACTACAGGTGAGTTCATACCCCCATATTTTCATAGTTTTAACTGTTTTAAGGGGGGGGGGGGATACAAGTCTAACACAAAGATTTTGTGTTATAAAAAATAATTTCAAATGGATTACGGTTATCAAAACAAATGGTTTCAAACATCTTATCAAAATGAATTTCGGTATCATCAAATCAAGTGGTTTTAAGTGATTGTTTCAAAAAGACATCAAGTCACCAAAATGGATTTCAAAATATGAAACTTCTTTTAAATATTTTATAAACTTATATTTTTCCCCAAAAATCATACTAGTATACATATATTTATATAAATAAGACTTAAAAGATTTAGGACTAATAACCCACTTTGGTTCCTTTTCCTTGTTTGGATGTGGGATTACAAGTATTAGTTATTTGTCCGAGTGTCATTTAAATTTTACTTATATATTTGTATATGTATACAAGTATAAAAGTTTATTCATTTAGTTTCAATTATCCTTTGTAACAAGTTGAGCAAGGGGTTGTATTCATTAATACTAAGTATCAATACAGAAAGTACATATAAATTATAATAGGTATAATTTATGATTCACAGAACATTAATTCATGATTCAAGCATACTAGAGTACATTGTTTTACAAAAACAAAGGTTTAATTCAAAACTATCCAA